TGACCGGATGATTCTGCTCATCTAACAATGATGTGGTAAGCTGAATATGTAAAATAATGTGCCTTGCAGGTGAAGCACTGTCATTCTGAAGGTAAAGGACTACGGTAATGTTGCCAGGGAAATAAGTGTCAGGCACTGGCTGCAACAGCTGAGCCTTTGTGTCCTTAGAGATTCCTATCTAAAGCACCTTCTCCCTTCTCAGCAGGGTGGCTTTGCACTGGGGTACCACTGGGGAGCCTGGCTTGGGCTGCACGTGGGGATAGCCACGAGCCTGCCCTCTTCAGAGAGTCCTGGGAGAGCTTCCGGTGAATTGCCTCAGGGAAATAGAAGAAAGGGCAGCAATTTTCAGTGCAGCATGGCAGGACGTGGTATTTTAGAGAAGAAGGTTGCTAGCTGAGGGGCAGCTCCCCATTCTAGTGTAAATCCAGTATTGCCTCACCCACGTCCTGGCTTCAGGCCCTTAAAATTACTGCTGGGGTCAGGATGTGCCCCCGAGCATTTGCAGGTTGAGCCATTGCACAAAAACGAGTGGGTGAGTGCTGGAGGATGTGTCTGCTCAGAGGAGAGCTGTTCAGTGCACGCTGTGTGAAAAGCAGAGCAGCTGAAGCCCAGGACAGCGTGCTAACAGCAGGCAACTTCCCGAGAGTGTTCCTAGCAGGATGGCTGTCCTGGGCAGGCCTGCAGCACCTTACCCCATCCCTGAGGCTAAACCACGCCGGGTATGTCCTGCTGAACTCTGCCTAGTGCCAGTGAGAGGCAGCCACTGGAGCCACAGCATGGCACAGGGCGTGTGGCAATGATCAGGCCGTGTTCCCCACTGCCTGCCTTTCAGGCAGGCCTGTGGAAAGCAAGTGTAAAGCCCCACTGCTGTCACTTGGTAGCATCACACTCCTTAGCACTGCTGTGTGTTTTGTCAGATTAAGCAGGGATGCTCTGGGTCCCTGCAGTTGATGTTGTCTGAGAAGGTACTCCTTAGATTTTCAGGAGGGGCTGATTTTTCGTTTGTGTTGATATAAGTGACAGAAATTGCACAAAATCTTGTCATCACAGGGCCAGCAGATTTTGTTCTTTTTGGTTTTTTCTCCTTGGACATGCTCCAAAAGACATGCTCAAATGTGGAGCGATGGAAAACACAGAGCACTGGGCAGACTTTCCTGGGAGAACAGTGCATAAATTCTTACCTTTCTGGACATGTTTTGCTCAGGAGACCCCTGCTTCAGTCAAGTCTCCAGGAAAGGAGTGGAGCACAGGGAGAAGTCATGGAAAATGATTCTTTGCTGAGGGTTTTCTCAGCAGGGAGGCACAGCCACCTCAACGCCTGCATGTCTCAGAGGCCAACAAACTCCACCAATATCCAGAGAGGCAATATCCAGGCCTTTCCCTTCCTTCCTCCCCAACACCCTGGCTATGCACTCGCATGCTCTTTATTACAGCAATCTCGATTTACATCAGCAGGAACCAGAGTCACACATGCCTCACTTCAAAGCTCCCTCCCTGCCTGTGAGGGAGCTGCTGATAGCAGCAGATAGTTGTGTCTGCAGCTTGCAAGTGAAGTGAAAGTCTGGTGAGCTGCCCAGACAGACACCACTCCGGATTGAGTCATTACCCTTTTCCACCTGTTCTCAGCTGGATGCATGAGAAAGGATAACTCATGTTCAAACACCAGGTCAGCTCTGGCCGCCCCTGCAAAATAAACATCTGATGTCAGTGAAGAACATTAATGGGATGGTGTGTCAGGTACTTCCTTTCCCTTCACGCATTTCTCGGGGGTTTTATCAAAAGTAAAGAGAGTGAATAAGATCCCAGCAGGCACTCAGACTCTCCTGGAAGCAATGATGTCCTAGTGCGCTGCGGCAGCTGCTCCTCCACAAGTCCATGTGTGCCCCGGATCATCACGGCACAGCTGGGAAGTGGCGGCTGTGTGCTGGCCACCCCCTGTTCCACAAACAAGGACAGGGATCCGAGGGACAGAGATATCACCGGCGTCACCTGCGCTGCGTGCTGCCAGGTGCTGTCTGAGCCCAGTCTGTGCTGAAGGTTTTCAAAATGATGGTCGAGGCCCAGGGAGGACTAGCCAGGCTCCTGAGCCCATCTCGTCTCACTTCACTGCCAGCCCGTGGAAAACCAGGTCAGGCTCAGGGCAGGTGCCAAGCAGGCAGCCCCCTGCACAGGTTCCCTGCTCCTGTGTAAGCTGCACCCATTTTGGGGGTGCTCAGCAGCCTTTGGGGCAGCTCCCTGTCCCCTGGGACCGACCTGATGGAACAGCCAGAGCAAGGACTCTCTGAGCAGCAGCTCCAGCCCGGGTGTGCTGCCAGAAAACCCCGGGTGCTGCCGGGAGCGAGCGGTGGCTCAGTAGGTGGCACTCTGCATCCACAGGGAACCAGCACCTTCCCGAAGGAGAGCTCTGCCCTTGCAGCCCCAGCAACTCACAACTCACCCCCAGGCCCCGCTGCAGTGGGGCAGCCCAGGGGGCTGAGATTTGCAGCTCCCCTCAAGGCTTCTCCTCCTTGCACCACCTCCTTGCCTGGGGATACCCTCTGGAAGTTCATCCTGGGGACAGAACTCAAATGTCCTTCCAGCCCTGGAAGAGGGCAGTGGCCAAGCTTGGTGCCTTTTCCCTCACAGCACACAGAAGAGCTGCGGCTTGTGGCAGATGCCACCCAGAATGTCCTGAAATGTGTGGCCTCTGGAGGGTGTTCTCTCCAAGAAACAGCCAAGCAGGGCTTGGCCAGGAGGCTGCTGTTTGGGAAGAGCTCCCCTGATGTCCCATCAGAACCTCTCCGTGCATAACTGGGTACCCATCACCATCTTGCTGCACTTTCTGGACTCTGAGGTGTTGTGCTGGTTTGTACCAGGCTGCCCCTTCTTCTTCAAGATCACAGGGAGGACTAGCAGGAGAAAGCTGATGAAAGGACAAATTCAAATCATGGCAAGCCAAATTCCTCTCTGCTGGCAGTCAGTGAGATGAAGCTATCAGCTGGAGACTGGAGAAGAGAGGGAACACGGTGAGTCAGCAGCTGGATATGCCGTGTTTGGTCTCTAAACAGTGCAGGTAACACGGGCAATTGCACTTGGGACATGTAACCTTTCCCCCATTATGCCTCTTCCAATTGCTCAGCAGTAAGCTGTGGTGCCTGGCTGAGGAAGCCAGCCTTGAGCACAGCAGGAGGGAGGAAGAGAGGGGAATTCCTGGCTGACAAACCTTGCTTTGGCCATTCTCAAATCACCAACCCCATGTTTCAGCAGAAGACACCCCAAACCTCAAAGTCTCTGCCTCTGGAGGAACTCCCCTCACATGCAAATGATCTCTGTGAACTCCAGGCACTGAGACTTAGGGAGGTCTTGCAGGAAGGGAACTGCAGTCCAAGGGGGAAAGGAGGAGCCCTGTGAAGCCCCTGGCTGTCCCCCAAATAGCCCAGGAGCTGCTTGATGACTGCCCCCAGAGCTCTCTGACCTGGGGTTGCAGTGATGAGCAGGACTTGCCTTTTCTCTGCTGTGCCTCTGAGGACAGGCAGCGAAGGGCAAACACGACAAAACCCCCAGAAGTGAAGCTGTCAGCTCGTGCCAGCTGTTTGAGACAGTTTCAATTGCACCATGCACAGAAGGGCTGTCGAAGGCTTGCTGGAGCTGTCTGTGTCAGCTCAGCATCTCAGTGACTGATTCAGCATCTTCTTTTCCAGACCACTTGGGCATTGCCTCTCGGGATTGGCATGACCTGGCAAAGGCACCGGGAGCCACATATCGTGTGTGCCCGTGGAAGAAGGGAGAAGGTTCAACGACCGAAGCACTTGGATCCCTGCCATCTCGAGCAAAGGCTCCATAGCTTCCTTCCTGAGCCGTGAGTAACGTTCTGTCTGTCCTCTCTCAGTTAAAAGGCTCAGATCCTCCTTTCCCAGGGCAGCATTGCCACTCGCTGCCCTCGCAGCCTGCTGTGCCGTGGGACCGGAGCAGGTGGGTACCAGTCCCTTCATCCTCGACCCCCTGGGCTTACTCTGGGTTCCCATGCTAGGCCAGCACGTTACAAGCTGCTGTCCCAGTTCTTCTCCCCTCGAAGCAGCAGTTCCCTCTACAAGTACCTGAAAGGAGGTTGTAGTGGTGTGGAGCACCCGGTCTCTCCTGCTGTGCCTGCAGTGAGAGTACTAGAGGAAACGGCCTTAAGAGGAGACAAGGGACACTCAGATTCGATACTAGAACAGTATTTTTTCACTGTTTGGGTGCTCAGGCACTGGAATAGGTTTCCCAGGGAGGCGGTGGACTCACCATCCCTGGCGGTGTTCAAGAAGCGTCTGTACGTGGCGCTGGGGGATGCGTTCAGTGGTTTGGGGGTTACAGGGCTGCGCTGATGGCTGGGCTGGGTGGTCTTACAGGTCTCTCCCAGCCTTGGTGGCTCTGGGAATCTTCAGCAGGTGCCACCGCAGCCCGAGAGGTGGCCGTGGGGAGGTGCCCTGCCGGGAGCTCTGCCGGGGCAGCCGTGACTCGCAGTGGCCCCGAGGAGCACATTTGTCCCTGCCGGTGCGTGCCGCCGCTTGCTCAGCCCTTCCTTACTCCGCTCCGCGCAGGGAGACGCAGCCAGCGAGGAGAGGAGGGGCTGGTGACCGGGTTTATCTCTGGAAAACACTCCTCCGGGAGATGCGGGGAGAAGAGCAAGGAGGAGCAGCCGGCCGACAGACAGGTGTGCCCGCAATAACCCGGCGCGCTCCCGGCTCCGTGACTCGCCCAGGGAAGCTGTGGCTGCCCGATCCCTGGAGTTATTCCAGGCCAGCCTTGTCGGAGCAACCTGGTCTAGTAGAAGAGGGTGGAATGAGGCGGTATTCAATGTCCCTTGCAACAGAAAAAAAAAAAAAAACCCCATCGGGAGATTGAGTGCTGTTGTGACTCCGGGATTCCGTCATTCTGGGATTCCACGATCCCGCCCCGCTCCGCCCCTCTTGACGTCGCTCCGAGTCGCCGCCCCCAGCGCCCGCCGCCCATAAAAGTGGACGGTGGCGGCGCGCCGTTCCTCATGGAGCGCTGCCGCCGGCACCTGTTGTGCTACGGCGACTCCTTTTGCCCCGTTCCCTCTGTGTGTCTGTGTCGCCACCCGCCCCGGTTCGGACGATGCGGGCCGTGCTGCTGATGGCCGCTCAGGCCGTGCTGGCAGGTGAGGGACGCGACGGGACGGGACGGGACGGGGGACATCGGGACTCGGCGGAGCCCGAGCTCGCGCCTGAGGGGGAATTGCGCCTGAGGCGGGCTCGCGCCTGAGGGGGGGCAGCCGGCGCGCGGCCGTAGGCGGGAAAGCGCTGAGGCGGCTGAGGGGACCCTGAGGCGAGTGAGGGACACTGAGGCGGCTGGGGGGACCCTGAGGCGAGTGAGGGACTCCGCGCTCGGCGGCGACCCCCTCTGCCCACCCCGGCTGACGGCGCCGTTTCCCGTCCCCTCAAAGCGAGCCGTGCGGCCGCCGGGTCCTCGCCCAACGCCACGGAGCCGCAGCGGCACGAGGAGCGGGAGCCCGGGAGCCGTGAGGGCGAGCCCGTGCCGGGTCCTGACTACGAGGAGGATGAGGAGGAGTACGAGGAGGCGCCGCCCGTCCACCAGTACATCGTGGACGACTTGATCCGAGGTGAGGCGGCGGCGCCGGGGCTGGGATCTCGCAACTTGCGAGTCCCGACTTAACGCCTTTTCTTTCTTGTAAACGCTGCTGTGCTTGGCTCGTCGATTTTGGAGCAAAAACGTGCTTGTGCTTGAAGCTGCTGCTTTAGAAATAGCTGCTAGGGGTGGAAACCCAGCGTGAGTGTGCCGAGGGTGTGTGGGAGCTGCAGGCCAGCCGGTAGCTTGCTGTGCATAGCTTTATTTCCTGATAAACCTCACGGGAGGGCTGTGGTCAGGTGGCGACCACCTGCTCAGTGTAGAAGCATCAGTGGTGATTTAGGTGCTGTTTGGCCCTAAAAGGTTTGTTTTACATCTAGCTGTCTGTTTTGCTGCAAGAGTTTTTCTGGGTGATTTCTGATGGTGGCTTATTTGGGTTGGAGTCAAGTCAACTTGGGAAAATTTACTTGGGAAAGCAGACACTTAAATCCCTTAAGTGGCCACAGGAAAGTTTGTTGAGCATCTTTAGGCCAATGCTACACTGTCAATAGCTGTTGTGTGTATTTATCGTAATTTGCCCGCTTGCTGAGCTGTGAGGAGATCTGAGCAGCCTGCCTTACTGTGGGAACGGGAGCATTTTGGTTCTGGGCTGAGCGTAGTTGCAGTACAAGCCAGGTATCTACAAGCGATTTGAACCTCAGTAGGTGTGAGTAGGCTGGTCCTGTTGCCTCCAGGGTGGATCTGACTACTGATTTTCCTGCAGGGGCACCCTGAGACTTGAATGTGACTAAAGGACCTCTTAAATTAAGTGGGACCGCGCTCTGTGTGGTCACTTGAGGGAACTGGTGGACTTCTGCTGAAGTTCCCTGTGAAGATCTCTGGGGGAAACACGCCTGTCGGTGTTGTCGAGCAGTTTAGCCTGTCAAACTACTGGCTTGGTGACTGAAGTGCTGTCTTAACTGCACAGAAACCAGACCTGTTACCTAAGGTGGTTGGTTTGTAGACAGGCTCTTCTGCTTGGCACGGGGTTTATCTGTGGATAAAGCTGTTGTGATTCAGCTGTGGATGGCTTTCCTGGCCGCGCAGCCTGCAGACAGGGACACAGAGATCGAGCTGACAAGCTGAGCCTGGGAGAGGGAGGAAGGGAAGCGGCCTCAGTTATGAAAGCGCGAAGTTAAAGATCAAGTCAGACGGGACAGAACAGGGGCCTTTGACTGTCAGCAGCGAGCTCACACTTCCAGGCACAGGAAACCTTGCTGCAGGAACTGTGTGCTTCGTTTGCATATTAATATAGCTCATACGGTTTTAATCAGACTTCTGGTTGCTGAAGGCATTTTTGCTTTTAAGTAACTTCAAGCCAGGCTTGTTGCTCTGGAAGTGAAAATCATCAGCTGTCTAGACAACAGTGAGCTACACCTTGTTTCTTTGAATGGGCGCTCAGCACCAGAAATACAGGGTTAGGAAGTAGTTAGATCCAGTTGTGCCCTATTGTGGTGATTACCTGTATGCATAGAGCTGTGGGTAAAATGTTAATCACCCAGAAATGACTTTCATTAGGTCTTCAGAGCACAAGAGCAAACTGGAGCTTGTTGTAAGTAGCTCTGCAGTTTCCTAGGGCCTGTTTAAATCCCTGGGTAACTGTTACTCCTGGGCAGCAGTGTGGCACTTCCCAGGTTTAGGGGTAGCAGTGCAGGGTTTTTGCTGCACCAAGTTAGTCCAAACTAGTGCTGTTGAGCTTGGATTGGTGCAAGGGGCAGCTCTGGAGCTTCTGACCCTCAGTCAGCAGCTGGTTTGTTCTCCTCAGCGAAAGGAACGCGATTGCCCTTGCTTAAATCCGAGGGCTACTAAGTCACCAGGATTTTAAACCACACTCTTCTAGAGGTTTGTCTTAATTGGGATAATGAGGGGCAGCAGTAAGCGGCAGAATAAATAGTCTGACTGTTGCGGGCTCCTGCATCTCCTTCCCCGCGCTCGGCATCTCTCACAAAGTAGGAGAACTGGAAAGGAACTCTCTCCTTCTGAAGACAGCACTGCAGGTTGTTTAGGAGAAACAAGTATGCCAACCGGGATAGCAAGCTGCTTTGCCTCGGCAAGTGCCCAGGACTATCTAGCAAGTTACAGTGCCTTTCATCACTGATGCAAATGGAGAGTTTAGAGACACGGAGCTATTAGCCTTGTACCTGAGCCCATGTAACACTAGAGGATGGCTTGGCTCAGCATGAACTCCCTCTTCTTTACAGGCCTTTGCTTGAAACTGTGCTGTTGCTCTCAAGTGTCTTATGCTGTGAAATGCTGAGGTCCTGCATGTCTGCTGCTCTTCATCTTTGCTGGCTCTTGGCTCATCTGCTTGTACTGCCTCTGGTGTGCATGGCACAGGACTGAAGCCTAGCAGAGTTGTGCTTCAATGAGCTGCTGAGCTTGCTGCCTTTGTGCTGGGCGTGAGATGCCCAGCAGCATTCTCACTTGCATCCTGTGCTTCCTGGTCACAGATTCTCCTGCGGTGATGGTCCTCCTGGTTCTCATCTAATTCTTCAATTCAGTGTTCTCAGAATTGTGCTTTCTAGCACTTCTATACCAAGTCATCGTGTCCTTTTTTCAGTTGAACCTGTGGTTAAACCCAAGCCAGCAAAGAGGGGGGGAGAGAAGAGTGCTGGCAAATCAAGAAGGAAGAAAAACAGAGGGAAAAACAAGAAGAAAGGGACTCCCTGTGAAATGGAATACAAAAACTTTTGCATCCATGGAGAATGCATATACCTAGAACATCTCCAGATGGTGACCTGCAAGTAAGTTGCTTGTAGATTGTGATTTAGGTGTCATTGCCATGAGCCAGTGGCATATGAGGGCTCAGAGGAAAAATCAGTGTCAACTTGGTATAGATCCATCTCCTGCCATATTTTGACTGAGAATCTTTCTGCCATGTAAATTAAGTGATGATGGAATCTGAGATGCATAACAAGCCACTGAACTCATCAGTTGGTCATAAACTCAAAGCAAAAGAATGAAAAGGCGTGTCTTTCTGGAGCATCACACCCAAACTAATCTCGACTTGTTGAAATGCTGACAAACCTTGTGCTAGAGCAGTGACTGCATTTCATGAACCTGCTCTGAAGCGAGCACCTTGAGCTTCATGGGAAACTCGGAAGATGTCTAAGTCAGGTCTGAGTATGTGTGGGTGTCCTTGGCTCCAGACAGCACAAGTGCTGATAAGAACTTGTGTTAATATTTACTTGCAGGTGTCATCAGGATTTTTTTGGTGAGCGCTGTGGTGAACAGTTCATGAAGACTCAAAGGAAGAATGATGTGGCAGACTACTCAAAGACTGTGCTGGTAGTGGTAGCTGTGCTGCTCTCAAGCGTCAGCTTCATTACTGTACTTATCATTGTGATAGTGCAGTAAGTATTATGCTCTTTGGTGTCTCACTTCTTTAAGCATGAGCGGGGCCTGTGCCCAATAACCCCAGAATGTGCATGGCTCATCTGAATTACCTTTGTGAAAAGCAGCTGCAAAGGATGAGCTCTTATCCCAGCTTGGATATGTCTGAAGGGTAGAAGCAAGGTCCGTGACCCTTATATTGTCAGCCAAGAGCCTTTCTGCCCTTGCTGCAGCCAGGGTAGTTAGAGTGCTGCAGAACAAGAGCAGGAAGCCCAGGATGAGCATTAATGCTGACACAGAGCTGCCTTCTCTAATCCTGGTGGGAAACCTGCAAGCAGGGGTGTGATAGCCTCATGCATGGCTATTAGCCAACAGCTGCACGCACAGGTGGAGGGCAGGAAATGGTGCTCTGGAGTCCATTTGTTAGTGGATGTTGCTGGGCCTAAATGCCTACGCTTGGAGGGGAGGCAAATGCTGGTGGTCCCAAATTCTGCTTGCTGTTAATAGCAGGGGAACACTATTTCAGCTGAACTAGCTCCTGTAGTTCAGTGTGGTGGGTTGTCAGTCTCGAGTCCTGGTGAGAATAAACTCAAAGAGCTTTTCTGGGTATGTGTTTCAAACCGTATAACAAATTGAATATTGATGCAGTCCTGCAGTTGTGTCACTGCAGCTCCAGCACAGTAGGGCTTGGGATAGTATAGTAACTCTGAGGTTCAGTCTAATTTTAGATCTTGATGAAGCACATCATCTGAATTGGGTACGTGCTGTACCTTTTCCTGCAATTCAGGAAACAAGGTACACTTTGTCATTTCAGTGTTGCTTCATATTTAACTCTGAACTTGAAGAATGCTGGGATGAACGCTTGTTCTCTGAACACTGCCTCATTCCTTGCTGCTAGGAGAGATAACCAGTTCTGTAGTGCTCTAAGAGCAAATGATTGTTGGTAGTTTATGAAGTGCATTTGCTTGATGTTCTGAACTCTCACAATGTGGGTGCGTGCTAATCCATACCCCCATCCAGAGAAGCTGCTTGGAATAGTCACTAAAAAACACTGGAAACTGGGAGGAAATCCGGGGCTTCCTTATTATGTATTCAAGGGATGGGGACTAGATTTGAGGCCTGCAGGGCTCTGCTGTGGAGAGAAGGAGGACAGTGTGGCCTCTGCAGCTAGAAGCTAAAACCCCTAGGAAATCTGTCACCCAGAAAGTCTCTGGTGCTTTGCTCAGTCCCAGCAATAACCTCTCTTCATCTTGCTCCCTAGTCTGGTTTAAGCCAACAAACTCTGTCTCTGTGAGGCACAAGTGTTGACATCTAGTTCAGGGGTTCCTTGATTTTATCCACGGATACTGCTTGATGCTGAATGCTTAAAAACTGTCTTGCTTGAATCTCCCCGGTGCCAAGGAGTTGCTTGAGGATTCAAAGAACATGAGTCTAAATGCGGCAAAGGATGGGGAAGCTGGTGACAACCGGATGTGCCTCAGGGTTCAAAATGATCTCTAACGTGCCATAATTCCACAGGGTCAGGAAAAAGTGTCCTCGGTATGACGAGAAAGAAGAAAGGAAAAAACTCCGACAAGAAAACAGAAATGGCCATGTTGGTGTGTAAATGGGGAGAAAGCAGGTATGAATGCTGACTTGAAACACCTTTCAGTCCTTCCAGGCTGTATGGGAATTGCATGCTTGTTTTGCAAAGCTAGTGTTTGCTTTTCATGCTCCAAGTGTCTTGAAACACATAGGTTACATGTGAGCAGCTGGCTTGGGTTTCTGGTTTCTCAAAACTGCCTTGAGTTGTACAAGTTGTTCAACAGCTCTTAAATTCCTGGCTGTGTTAAAGACCAAGTGAGGATGGGAAGCAGTGCTGAGATAAGCGGAGCTATGAAGAGAAAGTCCTGAATATCTGGACAGAGGCAGATGTAGTGCAGGAAACAGTGGTAGACTTCAGTCGTGGAAGATGGTGCTGCAGCATCATCACCTCGTAGAAGAAAAGTACTGAGCATTTTCATATCTTTGCTGCAAGGAGAGTTTCAGGAAGTTTCTGGTGCTCAGAAGCTGTGGACCAAAAGGAAGCTGCGAGTTGTGTGAGCACCACAGATAGCCTCTCAGTCAAGTTTCATACTGTCACAGCAGCTGAGGCCCAAAGCTCCTTGGCATATGTGGATTGCTTCTGGGAGTCATCTAGTGGATTTTACTGGGCAGGCAAGTTGGTCTTCTCTGAGGCCAGGCGTAAGTAACAGCAGACTCAAGGACCATTATTGGAAAGGAGTTATACTACAAGCTGAGGAGGAAGATGGTCCTGAAAAATTCCAGCAGACCTGTGCAGTTTTGCTTTGCCACATGTCAGCTATAGATATTTTCTAGCTTTGTCCAGTGACAACTGGAGGGTTTTGCTTAAAGCTTACTTGAAGCTGAAGAGTGTCTGGCAGTGTCCTCAGGTGTGTGCACGTCCTTAATCCGCCTGCCTTGCTCAGTGGTTTGCCGTGGTGCTAGCACAGGGTGCTTGTGTCTCGGACGGTGATTAATGTGCCTGGTCTGCCCGTTACAGAGCAATTCTGAAGTGGCCATTGCCAAACTGCGGGGTACCTCTGGCTACCTGACACATCCACCTGGACACTGTGGGCTGGAGCTGTTGCCACTAAGCCCTGATTCATCAAGAGAGAGGCTGCTGCAAGGAGATGTCAACAGGCCACTTGCTGCTGAATCACTTGCTGAGGAGACCAGTTATCACTGCATCTTGGCACAACGATGTGGAAGGAGCTGGCTCGTTGGGGGACAGTACCTGTTGTCAACACCTGCTGGAGACTACTGCTACTGAGCCTTCTCTCTCTCTGCTAGAGCTCCAGTCTCAGCTGTTGTGCGGATGGACTTTATTCTCTTAGAAAGTCTCCTGTGGCAGCTCTAACTCCAAGGGGGAGAACGTGTTGCTGCTTTCAGGACTGGATGGAGGGGAGGAAATTCCCTTCCTTCGCTCTGCAAAAGCGAGAAAGAGGTTGGGATGGCTTCTCTCCTTAGATCCCAGTGGATGAAAAACCTAATTCTGTTGTCACTGTGCTCCCTGTCCATATTGGCTTCCAAGAGCTTCGTCTGTAGATGGAGCTTGCAGGGCGTTGGTGACAGATCTTTGTCAGCCACACCTGGCTTCTGTTTCTGTGTGTGTGGAAGTAATCTGTGGAGTTCTGTGTGACATATGGTGAGTGGAGCTATCCATTTCTTTGTGTGGAGTTCTGTGGGACATGTGGTGTGAGTGGAGCTATCCATTTCTGTGTGTGGAGTTCTGTGGGACATGTGGTGTGAGTGGAGCTATCCATTTCTGTGTGTGGAGTTCTGTGGGACATGTGGTGTGAGTGGAGCTATCCATTTGCGTGTGTGCTAGCCCGAGTTAAAATTAGTCTCCTCAGGATGCTGAGACAGTGGATGCAAGACCTGAAGCTTTGCATCTAAAGGCCAAGATCCGTGCTCCAGCCAACTGATAAGGCTGGACCCATCTCTTCTAAACACAAAGCTACTTCTGTTAAACAGACACTTGTTGCTGCTGCTTTAAGCAGTGCTTAAATATAAAAGGCTTCCCATCAGTTTAACTTGACTAAGAACCTGTTCCTTTGAAGAATTTAATTCAGGCACTGATGCTTTGCAGGCAGTGGTCTCTTGTGCTCTGACTTCAGGGGTGAAGGACTCATCTTACCTCAGTCTCTTCTGACCCAGGTGTCCTTGTTTTCTTAACTGTCCATGCAGTCTTGAGCAGGGCGTATTATTTGAGTTCAGCTTCTTCTTGGAAGAGTGATTGTGTTCTGTCTAAACAGGGCAGAATTCTTTTGCTAGCAGAAAAAACCCATTAATTGTCAAGTTGTATCTGTAAATGTGTAAATATTTATTACTGTATTTAATATTTAAATTTTCCATAACAAACTTATTTATTTTATGATTAAACTTTTTACATAACCTAATCATGTAAGATTTTTTTCTTGCTCTCAGGCGTACATGTAAACACCTGAAATTAGAGCTTGGTTTCTCCTCAAAGCAAGAATTTCAACACTTGGGAACACTGCTGTGAAGAACTGCAGCCGTGTGTCAGGCATGGGCTTGGTGCTCTTACAAGAGTGCAAACTGTTTGTAAACAAAATGTACAAATGCAAGTACCTGTTTGGGTAAGAAATCCATTTCATTCAGCTACGAGGGATCTTCTGGTTCCTGAATTAGGGCGAGGCTAAGTCAGCCGTCTCACTGGCAGCGAAACTTCAAACTGAGGTTTGAGCAGATGTAGCCCTTTGCGCTTGAGTCAAGAGTTGGAATATTGAATGGCAAGAGCCTTTCATCTCTCTGCAGTCGGAGAATTTGGACAGCAGCTTGAAACCTGGTCTTAAATAAATGAGGAAAAGCAGCATAGCCTCAGGCCAGTTACTCCCTAAGCAGAAAGGGAGCCTTGGTCTCCACTGTACGCTTGAAATTTCTTTTCTTCCTTGGTATTTATTAGTCCGACTGTGTATTAATGTTCCCATCTAAGCACTTGTAGCAGTGAGCTGGGTTCCAAGTTCAGAGTTGCCTGAAAAAAACCCCAAAGTTTCAAGGAGGAGAATGTGGCTTTATACGGTTAAAAAGAAGGGGATGGAGAAGATGGTTTGGGGCCCTTTTTTCATAAGCATCTTCAAGAGCTGTTGATGGCTGGGACTTAACTTGAAGCAGAGCTGATGAAAAACCCCAGCCCATCAGTTTTAATTAGGATGCAGGTTGTGTATCCAGTGTAGGACTAGAGCTCAGTCCTGCCTGGAGTTGCTGAGATGCCTTGGCCTCCTGAGCTCGCCAGGGAGTTCTCAGGCTCTGAGAGCTGCCTGTATGGTATGTACCTGAGGTACAGGTAAGGTATTGCAACACCTCTTGGGAAGATTGCAAGACTTCATTCCAGGGAACTTGTTTCATTACCAAGGTAAACAGCATTTCTCCAAGTGGCTTTTCCACAGACATTTGCTATTAGAGCTCTGGCAAGAAAAGCTGTTTCTGTCAATCCTGCCAAGATATTTTTGCTTTGGAGTAAACAAGCTTGATCTCAGTGGTAACCAAGCCATGGCCTAGTGAGACTGGAGATGGATTATTACTCCCTTTTAAGAGCCATTGGACTCTTTTTCCAGAAACTTTTGTCTCTCTAGTCTGCCTTCTGGGGAAAGTAACAAGGTTTTTACTTGTTAAGCTAAAGCAACGCTAGTGTGGGAAGCAGAACTGTTCTCCCTCTTTCCTTCCCAGCTTCTAAGCCTGACAGGAGTGAAGCTACCCCTGTAAATTGTAGATGCTCTCTGTTGTGTACTTTTAATACCCTGATTACTGAGTGGGCAGTAAAGTATTTCCTGAAATAAGGAGTTGGGAACAGGAGAGGCAACAGCGGAGGGCAGACTTCATGGAAGACTTCGTCCTCTCTAAGGATTTAGGTTAGAGCCAGGATTTCTGAGAGGTTGTGCAGCCAGCAGCTCTACTGCAGAGTTCTTTGTGCTTTGCTCCTGGTCAGTCACATGCAGCACTGCTGCAGCTCTTGCTAGCAGAGCTTTGCTGTGCCTGAGTGATGGTGCTGTCTCCTGCAGGGCAGGAAGCTGCCAGTGTTCCCTGTGGTGGCTTGTTGAGCACTCGGGACTGTTTTCTGTGTTTGGGAAACTAAGTGCAGGGAACTGAGGGCAAATCTCCCTGTCCATGAATGGCATTGGTAATTCTAAGTCCAGAACCGATGTATGTAAGAAAGTAAAAATTCCCTTCGTTATGCTTTAATCAATTACAAGTTCTGGCAAGCAGTCATGTGTTTTTTCTGCTGTGGCCCTGGCTAATAACAGCCTGCTCCAAGCTTCTGAACAGAAGTGTGATGCACAAGCACCATCTAGACCTACAGTGTCCAGTGGGTTGGTTGCTTAAAAGAACCCACAATGGATGGGTGGAGCTGTGTGTCTGGAAGTCTCCTGCTGTCCAAGGATGCTGTGCTTGTGTGACAAGACAATCTGATTTGCTGCAAGGCAAGGGCAAAGATAATTTTTACTGTTGATCCTGCACAGCCAGGTCGGCTCTTCAGGATGTACATCATCTGGCTGTTGACATTCTCCCCTCACCACGGAGTTACCTTGGTTTCACTGAGCATGCCTGGATTCCTGGTCACACATCTTCTGAGTTATGCCTCCAGATTTTTCTTGGCCTTCCACTGACAATGCTACTTTGAGAGGAGTGCATCTGCGTCCTCCTCACTTGATGCTACTTCGGGTAGGACCTGAGGGAGGAGCCTGATGTGCTTGCACAATTTTCTGCACACAGGGCTGATTTGGCAAGGTATTTTTGATATCCAGATCAGTATCCAGGGATAATGTGATGGTCATGCCTTCTTGCACAATTCCTTCATCTTTCCTGAACATTTTGTTCTCTGTGACTATTGTAGAAAGAACGATAGCTCATCACAGTGTTATCTATTGTGCATTTAATGGAGTTTTTGAGTGTTTGCAGTTGTCTGTGACCAGGGAGCTTCCCGTCTGCTTCTGGACTTGGCTTCCCTCCTCCTGCCCACCTCCCAGTATGCCCCTTTTCCCTCAGAGCAGTAGCAGATGTTAGTCTGAATTTAAGAATTTTCCTTGGTAAATTCACATGTACGTGGACCTCTGTAAAGGCGTTTGTACTGTCAGTGATCCCAGGTGGCTGTGCAGTGGTTGGCTTCACCCGCATTTGAGTTTGTTTGATGCCATTTCCAAAAACTGATGTAGAGGTTTGAGCCCTTAAAAGACTTGGGGTGTTTTTGTAGGAATATACTTACTAGCACTACTGATACTTCAGTAAACTCCCTGAGCAAGCACGCCTGAAAGCAAGGCTGTGAACTGGGACAGATGCTCGTCTGTCTTTGGAGGGGGTTTCTTGATGTGCTAGCAGTATGTTCTGCTTCAGAGAACAGTGCTGCACTCAGCCTGCTCTTGAGGCATTCTTGGATAGGGAGCCATGGCTGCGTGTCCTTGGTGACTGCTGAATGCATGCTCCTTGCATGGGCAAGGAGCAAGGGCTGCTTTTTGCTGTCACTCTTGGACTCTGTTCACGTGGGACAGATCAGTGGACAGAAGGCTCAGACAGTCCTTCAAACCGAGCTTCCTTCTCGTTTTGTGAGTAAAGATGTGCATACCTATCGTTCCTCTGCTGGTTACACCTTTCTGAGCCGGTAATCCTCGCTTGCTGCAGGTCTGGCTTTGTCCGTGACTCGGGAGTCGCTCAGCTGAGACAGCTACGCCTGTGAGTGTCAGAGGGAAACAGCTATTGTTTGCTTTCTCTAAGGGCCCACAGCCAAGGAAGCAGGATTTGTGCTTTCTTCAGCCACAGAAGACCTCGTAGCACGTTCTAAGTCCAAAGTAGAGAAATTATTTCAAAATGCATTTTCCTAGTAAGGACTATCAGTGCATCTTTTTTGAGAAAGAACCAGTTTTCATTTATAAGCTTTTTGTGTCATTAAGATATGTCTTTTTGCATATGGTTCAGAAAAATAGCTAATTCTCAGCTCAGCATTTGTTTTTACTGAAGTAATGCAGTCTGTTCTCTTTGCATATTGGGACAAAAAGCAAGGCTAAATAGTCTGGGAGTCTGATCTAATCCAGCATTTCCAATATGTCTTAACCTAGATGTGATCCCCTCATTCCAACACCATGCACCCAAAGTCAGAGAACACTGTCATCACTTCTGCCTTGGGGTTCCTGCCTTTTGATGCTTTGTTCCAGATCTTGGAAAATAGTTTCCTTCTTTGGGTGTGTTTTTTTCCTTACACTGCTGCAGTGAATTTGTTTGTGGGCATCAGACGCCAGTTGGAGGCTGGATTGGTTCATGGGTGGTGCTGGAAACCTGCTGTTCTTCCAGAGGATAAAAAAGTGCTGCTGATGTTGTGCCATTAGTTACATTATTTTTGCTTAGGAAAGGAAACATTTTCAGCAGGTAACCAGTTAAAAAAAAAAAAAAGGGGAAACAGAAATTACTTATAAGAGTTTCAAGTGAGGAATATATTTTAAAATGTCTCTATTAGAGCATCCACAGCTCCTGTCAGTGCAGGGTCATAGCATCTCAGCAAAATCTCAGGCCAATGTCTTGTCAGTCTCCCTTCCTCTCCTTGCATCCCTGCTGGGATGGTAATGTGAATTGTTGGTGATTGAACAGGGGCTGGGCCTGGTAGCTGTCCCAGGTTTTACCCATAAGACTGTCCTTTTCTTGCATTGTTTGCCCTCACATTTCTAATTAGTGTCATTTCTGCTCAGAAATTATTGGAGGTGCCCGCAGCAAATGCAGGTGAAGAGTTTCAAATGAAACTTCCAAGTGTAATTGGGGTAGGTACAGAGTTAGTGTGGCTCCCATTGATACTTGTCTGCATTGCTTTCAGACCGTATCTGGCTCCTTGCAGTTAAAAGGCACTTCCCTGCCTTATGCCTGGGGATGATTACTGTTGGGGATGAAAGGCAGACACCTCCTGGGTGGAGCAGAGCACAGTAAAACCAAACCAGGGCTTAGGGCAACAAACGCTCTGTCAGGTCTCGGTCCCCCTCGTTTATGATGAAAGCTTTTCAAAGGCATGCACAGTAGTGACGTGTGTCGATCCTGTGAGATGTTCCAGGGAAGCGCTATAGCATGTTGTTGCCTGGTCAGGACAGCAGCAGCAGTTGGGATTTCAGCTGGAAAGAGGAGTGGGGCGGAAGGACAGGGTAGCAGGGTCGAGCAGAATGGACCAGAATAAGGACAGGATTTGAACCACTTCTACCACAGGCGTAGCAAGGAATACTAGGGCATATTGAGGCGTATTAAGCAATGACCCCTGTGCTAAGTGCACAGGGATAAAGCCAGAAACCCTTCACAGACCTTTGGGAAGCTTGCCTTTGCAGCAGTAGGAAGAAAAGGACCCCCTTAGCTTGGCTGCACACTTGTTTTTCTCGGCCACATTTACC